TAGCCTATGGACAGAGGCAATTCTGCTCAGATCTGACCCTGCCTAATGAAGGATGAGGGCAGAGGTAACACAGGACACGTGGAGTATGGCAGAAAATGATGCAGAATGGGAGGGTGTACTAAGTCTGCTTTTAATGTGAAATTGGAATTATCTGGAGAATAATTCCCATAGGAAAAGGTTGAAAGTCAAACTGCTTTCCAAACAGGTTTTATCACCATGTCTATAAACTTAAGCACATGAAGCAGAGAATGTGAAATATTCACAAGTAGTGGCTAAGAGCACAGGATTCACAGTCGGAGAGAAAGGACCACTTCAGAACTTCAGGAAGGTACTAGCCCCACTAAATAAGCTTCTATTTTCACATCTGGAAAATGAAGTAATATATGCATCTCAGGACTGTGGTAAAAATTCAATGAAACAATTTGTGAATAACATGAAATGGTACTGAAATTATACTCAAGAGCATTGTGACAAAAGCAGCAGTAGATATAGTGTTTTGAATAGCTGTGTGTCTACTGTCATTGTCATAACAAACCTGTAAGGGGGTACTTCTTTATTTAAATTGTTATACGCTGAATTATGCCCCACTACCAAATTTCTATGTCCATGGTTTAATCTCCAACACCCAAGAATGGAGGTAGGCTTTTCACAGAGGTAATTTAGTCTATGGGTGATGCATTAATGCTTATGAAACAGATTAGGTCACAGACACAGAAAGGAAAGAACTTATGAAGACTCAGGGAGAAGATGGCCATAGAAAAACAAATGAAAAGGGCCTCAGAAGAAACCATCCTGTCACACCTTGTCTCAGAGTTGCAGCTCAGGAATTGTGAGCAAACAAATTGCTGTTTAAACCTGTCTATGGCCCTTTGCGTAGGCAAAGTTATCAGACTAACACTCCCATTTCCATTAAAGAATTTGGGCCTCGTATTGGTTAAACAAAGTTCCCAAGCCCGGAGAAGTCATAATTTCCAGAAAGGGATTCAAATTCAAACCCCCTTTAGAATCTGTCTTCCGAAACATGAAAAGAGTGGTCCTCATTTTAAAGAATGTATAGTTTGGAAAACAAAACTATGTCAGAGAAGAAATAGAAATATGAAGGAAGAAATAGAGAGAAGTAGAAAGCCACATCTTGTGGATTAAAACAAGACAAACTTGCTACCTTACAGCTCAGCAGCTCAGAAGTCCAACACAGGTCCCACCTGGGTAAAACAAAGGTGTCAGTGCAACTGCATTCTTTTCTGAAGGATGGAGGACAGAATCTGTTACCTTATCTTCTGGTTCCCTTCCTCCATCTTCAGACAGCAATATTCCTTCTCTCTGACCCTTCTTCCTATTTACATATGCCTCTGAAATATTTAGGGAAACCTCTCCAGGACCTGTGTGACTAGATCAAGCCTACCTAGGTAAATAACTATCCTTCTATGTCCAGATCAGCTGGCCATCAACTCTAATTGCATCTGCAACCTGAGGTCCCATTTGTCACTACTCAAAAACATTCACAGGTACAGGGAATAGAACGAAGTTGGCCTATTGCTTCAATATTCCACCAGAGGGCACTGTCATATTCCTTTATAAAAACACCAAATACAGTGGTGATATGAGAGGAGGTTTGTTAACAACGAGCACTGCAGTGCACACCTGTAATCCCAGCTCTCACAAGGCTGAGGCAGGGGGATCCCTGTGACTTTGAGGCCAGCCAGATCAGGGCCAGCCTGAACAATGGAGACCCTGCCTCAAAAAACAGAAAACAAACAAACAAAAAGCACTGTATTATCAATTAAAAGAAAGCACACCAATATGTCTCACCAGGGTCCTTTAATGATGAAAAATAAATGATGAATCAAAATATAAAGTGATTTCCTCAAAATTGAAAGGGGCTGACCATAAATCAAAAGGGGATTTGAAATATAGTGAGAATTCTACAGTCTGTAGCTGCACTCAAAATCGCAGACAAAAAAAAAAAATATATTGCTGAATCTTTAAAGGTTAAAGCCTGTGTGCTCTGGCCTAGAGTTCAAGAAATGGGTCCTCCATGGGTAGATGCTATATGATTACTTTAGCCAGGGCACTGTTGCAGAGATGGGTGCATGAGAAATGCTGCAGATTTACCAGGAGGCACCCGTAAGGAGTGGGTAGAACAGAGAAAGAGAGGCAGAGATGGAGCAGTAGAGAATATAAAATGTAAAGATCAAGAGAGATGTTCAGAGCATTCCTCCATCTGTAGGACTCTTCTTCCCAGTCCCATTATGAAGGGCACAGGAATCTGCCCTCCATCGGTGAGGCAGAGTATGGCCCCCAAACTCTTGCATGTGCTGAGCTTGGGAAGAAGAGGTCAGAAGCAAGGTGTTAGGATAGGAGGCTGGGAAGCAATGAGCCAGCCCCTAAAATGAGCATACTGGGACTTAACAGCATCCATTTTAGTGTCTCAGTTGATACAGAGCAGGAAAGAGACCAGGAGAGCCTCGTGGTCAAAAGGATAGGGAGTAGAGGGGCCACATTCTGGAGAGAGTGAATTAGTCATCGAGAGGACAGGAAGATAGAATCGGCTACCTCTGAAACTTGTATTATATAATATGAAAACTGCTTGGGAAACATAAGGACCCTTTGAAGCATCATTATCCACCTCTACAGTGTTGGAAGAACTACCGGATGTGGGAGAGTCCAATGCCCACTAAGAGTCCAGGCTTAGCTTTGTGGAGGTGGATAAATTGTGAGACTTTTGAATTTGAATTTTGAGGTGGCAAAATTTGCTAAGTGAGCTGATATTATCTACTTCAGTGGGCTCTGTAGAATGAAAACCACTTTCCTTCCTCAAAGACCTCCAGACCCATAGCTAGGATATGGAGGAATTTCCAAAATGATATAAACACCTGTGACTAAAGCAGAGCCAAGCTGGATTCTCACAGTCTTTACCAGACGGGAAAGATGCACACATATAAAAAGATAAGTATTCTTTCTGAGATGACAGTGGATGTTACCCACATAGAAACTCACAGAACTGTGACAGGAAACTCTCATGGTGACAGGAAGTGAGGATAAAATCCATGATGAGCTGAGGGCAGCCCTGAAAACTAGGATGAGGGCCCACTTCCCGTCTGGAGATGAAAATAATTCGGCAAAGCACTGAAGGGCTCAGTGGGTAGAAAGTGACAGAAGGGAAGAGGAAGTCTGTTCCCCTCCCTCCCCTCCTAGGAACATCATGGTTCCCACAAAGCCTAACAAAGATTTAAAGTCTACATATCATCTCAAAACAGCACCCTGTGAATATATACAATTTAATTCTTTAATATGCAGTATACTGTATTCTATTTTTTTGCTCCTGACTGCAGGTGGGTCTGGCTCTGGACACAGGGCCAGGAGGGGAAAGCCCTTGCAGGTGAACACCTCAGGTGAGATTTGAATACCGGTTCTTCAACTCTAGAGAAGGTGGCGATGGCGGTGGCAGGGTAGGAGTGTCAGCACTTTGACTTTATACCCGCTGTTCCACTTGCATTTTTACTCGAAACAAGTAATAAAAGGGATTTCAATAATTCTGTTCTTATAAGTAGCCTTATTTGTTTTTCTTTTGACAAACATTTATTGATGCATTTTAAATGTAACAAACATTTATTGGTGCCTTTTAGACAAACATAATGATAACATTCATCATAGGGAATTTGTACCTCTTTATTCTTTGACCCTTCTTCCCCTCCTTATTTACAAAAGCTTTGATTCCAATTTTTCCTTCTGTTCTCTTTTTTCTTGTCCCTTCTTTCCTTTTCCCTCCCCTTCCCTTGTTCCCTTTCTCATGTGAATATTTCCTTCCCTTTTCCCAATATCCATTATACATTTTAGTCCTTATTTCCACTTTTGTTTTTTCACACCAGGGAAATGAAGTATTTAAACATGTGTGTCCAATTTATTTTACCTAAGAGTATTTTCTCAGGGTTCATCCATTTAGATAGAAATGTCTTGAGTGTCTTTCTTTATGTCATAGTAGTAAAACACACACACACACACACACACACACACACATCTTTATGGATTCATAGGTTGATGGGCTTTGGGGCTGTTTCCAAGATTTAGCTATTACAAACTGTGCCTCTGTAAACATGGTGTGCACATATCACTATGATATGATGCTTTAAATTCTTTTGGGAAGATAGCAGGAAGGGAAATAGCTGGGTCAAATGGAACCTTCCATTTTATTTCTTTGAGGAATATCCATACTGATAGCTACAGTATTTGTGCCAACCTATACTCCCAAGCGTGGAGATTTTAAAGAGAAATTATACCTTAACGTAAACTATACCTTAATGGTAAAAGTATATACATATTTTAAAACCCAGCTCAAAGGTGTTCGAGAAGGAAGATGTCCTCCTTTGGAGAAGGAGACAGAATTAGAAAAAGAAGAAAGACCCACAGACAATGTCTTGAGGGAAGTGGCTACAGCCAACTCTGATCTTCTGAAGAGCAAAGGCATTGTTTGTCCAAGATTTTTTGCTCTCATATACAGTGGTAAAACAATCCATGATGAGGACCTCACTGAGTTTTTACACCCTAAATGCTTGCAGAGGGTAGTAAGTAAAAATATATCTGTGGATAAAATGAAGTCAGAAAGATACTTGGAATTTTTTTTGTACAGAGTAGAAATGATTCCTAAAAATAGGAAAGTACAGTTTTTATAATAACATAAGCTTCATGTTCTCACATTTCTAAGTGATAAATATGGAATGCCAATTGGTACTACAAAGTCAAAAATACATAAATATTTGACAGTTTTTACAAGAGCATATTAATAAGAAAATGTGGCACATACATAAAGACAGCCTCAAGAAAATGAAGGAATATGACACTGATCTGAAATGTCCCATCCTGAGATGACAGTGTTGCCTTTTTAGACCTCAGCTCCTTGAGGAAATGGGAGTGGCTTCTCTCATGGGAATTCATGTAAGAATCAAGAAGCTTAAGAGGCAGAGACACTGCAGAGATAACTGGAGTAACTGGAGCCTTCAGGGCTGGCAGGTTCCTGTCTGATGTTGCCATGGGATCCTGGATCATGGGCTGTGTGGTCCTTTGTCTCCTGGGAGTAGGTGAGCCTCAGAACATATAAGCAACCTGCCGTTTTATCTTGCAGGCCTTCTTCCTGGAGACTCCACATCAGGTGCCCCTCAGCTTTCTCTAGCTCTGTCTCCTTCCTTCACAGGCCCCATGGAAGCCCAAGTGATCCAGATACCCAGACACCTCATCACAAAGACTGGAAAGAGCACAACCGTGACTTGTTCTCAGAATATGAACCATGACTCTATGTACTGGTATCGACAAGACCCAGGGCAAGGACTGAAGCTAATCTACTATTCACTTAATGTTGGCATGATTGAAAGGGGAGATGTTCCTGATGGATTCAATGTCTCTCGAAAAGAGAAGAAGAGTTTTCCCCTGATGGTGGACAAAGCCACCACCAGCCACACCTCGGTGTACTTCTGTGCCAGCAGTGTATCCACAGCATTGCACAGCCAGCTGCTCTCTGCACAAGAATGGCAGCTATGAGAGTGAGGAGACTCCTCCAGGGGAGGTCCCACCCCGACTGGAAGGAGAATCATCTCAGACACCAGTGACCATAGATGTCACCTCTCTTCCACAGCTCTGGGGACTCTGGGCCATGAACCCTCCCTTTGGAGCTTAAATCTTCAAATCCAATTGGGCTGTTGCCCAAACTGAACACGTCATTTGCGATAAACTCAAAATGTTTCCAGGTCCTGTTCTTGCAGCTTGGGGGAAAACATCAGGTTCTGAGTTGACTTTTAATCCAATGTTTTCCCTCATCTCATCGAGATTCTGTTAATCATCAAAATGTGTAAGCCAGAGATGCAGGAGTAATTTTCACCATCTCCTGACATTCTTCTTCTATTCCAGATCCATCACTATGTCTGGAACTTTCCTAAGGATGCATTTGCTTGCAAATTTTATTAATTTTTCTCACTTCACTGAGAATACTGTGGTCCAGCACACATCATCTTTCATCTGAATTCCTCTAAACACACACAAGGAGTCACCTGGTCTACCAGTTTAAAGTCTTTCCTTGTCTTTCCATTAATTAGTCAGTGTCATATTTCTGTGAGTGTGCAAGTCTTTCCACATACTCTATGATGTGGTAGTTGTTTTGCTGCTGCCATGGCTGCCTGCATTCTATCCAGAAATATGCCACTGTCCTTTGGTATGCAGGTGCATCCTTGACCTTGCCTACATTAAGCCTTTCTGTATTAGATACACATCAGCAGAATCCTGTCTTCTCCTTTTTCCACTATGTCCTTGGATCATGGTTTCACCTGGAATCTTTTTAGGTTTCAAAGGTCAAAAAAGAACCTAATTGAGAGATGCAGCCAGAATATGTGCTATGATCTCCATGTGTGAGTCCCAAAAGAGCCAGGGCTGCAGTTCTAACTAATATTTAACTCAAAATATATGTATGTGTCTTTTGAGATTTGCCTGAGCATTTCTCTACTCTCTGGATATCCAGACCCTCTCCACGTTAGCAGTTAGCCCACAACACTGCACAGTGACTTCCTCTCTGTGCAGAGAGGGTTGTCACAAAAGAGGGGAGGCCCTGCCTTCCTGAGCCCTCCTCTTGCCAGATGAAGCTACTGTCCCTACAGAGGGCAGTACTCAAAAGTCTTTTCCACCTCTCACACTGGAGACTCTGAAGGAGTCCCAGGGCCCCCGTCAGCAGAAGTCCATCTCTAGTCACATTGAGAGACATCACGTGCATCTTAGCCATCACTGCCCTCCTTCCCTTACTCCTCCTTTGTTGTTTCAGTAGTACATCCTTAGCCTGGGCCTTCAGTAGAACAGGGCTGATAGAACTCAGCATATCTCACCCGCCTCCCAGAGAGATGGCCCAGAGGGACACAGGGCCAACAGAACCTTCTTTCATGTACCTTTGCGTGCCCAACAGTTTTAACCATAATCCAATTCCTTTCATTTAAGCATGTCAGACTACATTATGCACTTATAGATTTTGCCAACAATAGAAGTCTTCAGATTTTAATCTTGTGAAAATCAACTTAAATAGAAAACCCATTCTAATACAAATAAGAATAATTTATTGATTTGAAACCCATTGGGCATACACATAGTCCCATGAAGCTGAGATCCAAAGGTTTTTGTGTTGTGTGCCTGTGTGAGCAGCTCGACTCCTGGCAGGGTTACATCTGTCGTATTTGAAATCGGATGTGATATCAGCAATGTCAAAATGAAGGAACAGAATATGAGTCATGACTAAATTATATGATTACAGAAAGTATAAAAACTATCTTATGTCCATGATTGATATTGATTTGTGGTATAGACAGCATATATATAAGTACAATAAAGGCTTTATTGGAAAATAAAAGCAATGTGATGACATCTGTATTTGACCCATTTGTACAGATCAGTGGTCCTCAATATACTCCAAATCACCTGTTTCAAATGTTCTCTTTTTCATTGTGGTGAGACTATTTAGCTCATGATAGCGTTAAGCAAATTCATTAAACAAAATATTAAGTACACATTGTTGCTAACTATAGGTACCATGTTGTGTAGCAGTGCTGTAAAATTTACCTAACTGAAACTTTCTACCAACAGTAAGTCTTCATTTCTTCAGACACCCCTCACCTAGACTCTGCTCCAATGTGTTTGGTGTTATGCAGAGCAAAATCAATCTAAGAAAGCTGAATATTTCATGGGAGAAATTTAGAATTTCTAGCACACAACGATGATAAAAAGCAGAACCATTTAATTCGGTTTGATTATTCTTTTTGATTTTCTGCTGGTAATGCACACTTTCTTGCTTGCACCTGGTGCTGCTCATGCCCATGACTTCACTGTTGCTACTTCACTGTCCCCACCACCCATCAGGTGAACCTGCATGTATGGGCATTTGCACCTTTGCTTCTACTATCACCAATGCAGCAGCAAGGGAGAGAAAGGTGTTTTGTAAAAGGAATTAGCATATTGCTCATAGGCTTATTCTAGGTACCTACTTCTATGAGAGCAAAGTGGCAACCATTACAGGAGAAATTATCCAAAAATAAATGTCTCTAATGCACTAAGTCTGTACTTAAGGACATATACATTGCTATCCCACAGGCATACAAACGTGCCCCCACCCTCACTCATGTAATACCCCCATAATTCCCTTGGCTCTGCAGTGCCACCAGACTGTAGTCTAGATGATGACAAGGGCTTGTGAGCATGGGCAGAAACAATGACATCACACACAGTCATTCTGCACCCAGAAAAGACCAGCTCTTTCTTTAAAATGGCCAGGGGCACAGGCTTCTCTGTAGCTTGGCCCTTTGTTTCCTGGGAGTGAGTGGGTGACCTCTGAGAGTTGGTTGTGTTTGGGAGCCGGTGGCAAACCCTGTCTTAGTATTTCTAGGTCTGGGAAACATAATTTTTCCCTTTGCAAGGCTTCTAAAAGCCCCTGTTTTCACCTCCAGATCTTTACTCACTCACGGGCACTGTAAACACAAAATTAACCCAGACCCCAAGATATGTGGTCTAAAGGATGGAAGAGAAAGTTTTGCTGAAACACTTAAAGGATATGGATGAAAGGATGTTCTGGGGTCGACAAGATGGTCTGGGACTACAGCCAGTTCATTACTTCTACAGTGTGGAGAGTAATACCACAGGTAATACAGAGTCTCTTGAAAGACAAAAGAGTGTGTCTTCTGTAGTGTGGAGTCAACCAGCACCATCAGACCCCTGTGTACCTCTGTCCCTGCAGCTTATCCACAGCACTGCACAGCCATATCCTCTCTGTGCAAATATAGCTGAGAAAGGAAGGCAAAGACTCTAACTCAGGCCAGCTGCTGGCTCCTGTGGTATGTTTGTGCCCATTAGAATGGCGGAACCTCCAGAGCTATGTACTTTAGCAAATAGAACAGGTGACATTTTCACACATTTCCAACTCAGAAGATACTTGACCTTAATCTGCCCAACTGTGTATGTTGTCACCAATCTAAATTCAGAAGACTGTACCCCTACAAGTAGGAATCTTCTTACATATGCACTCTGAAGCCTGCTCTACTATTTAAAATTAATTTTTTCCTTGCCTTTTCTGTTCTTAGTCTCTTTTCTAGACATTTTCTACTTTGTTCATCATCTTTGCTTTTGGTGCTATGTCACTAAGGGCACTAATGAATTGGAAACTCCTCAGACAAATTTTATTGATCAAGAACTTACTCAAGAAAAAGTTTGTAGAACTTGAGTTCTGTCCACTCATTTTTAAAAGAGAAAAAACTTGACTTAAGACTTTTGTCCAGATTCTCTAATCAATTATGCTGTATTAGGAAAACTAATCAGGAAAAGAATAAACTATGTCACAGAAGGTGGTAAAAGCTGTCAATCTAGAGCTTGATGTAGCTTAGCAGTACAGCTCCTGCCTGGCAAGTTTGAGGTCCTGAGGTTGAGATCTGGTACCAGGAAAAAAAAACTGTCAGGATATAATCATACAATCACCAGGAGAAAATGTCTGCTTCCTTCTTTTTTACAATGGAACAGACAATTCTCTCAGAAAATAGTTGAGCTGTTCTACTTTGAAAAGACAAAGGAAATGTAAATGGATTTAAAATTTTCAAACCTCAGGGAATTTGAGAAACTTTTAATGAAATAGACATAAGAAAACATATTCTAATTCAGTGATACACTTTTATGTAGAGGAAGTCAGAGGAAAAGTAAATCAATGTGTATTATAATGTTCAGGGTAAGTTTATATGAGACATCAAACAGAAGCTGATTTGGAATAATAGTAAGCAAGGAAAGGAAAGGAAACTATCAGAAGGAATAATACCCTACTATGCTTTTGTGGGAGATCATACTGGAATAAAAATTCTTTCTCTGACATAAAGCAGGAATCACCTGGGGACCACACCTTACTCACAAATTCTTTGTTCCCCACAGAAAGCATCACACAGACTAAGAAGATGAATCACAAGAGAGGAAAGCAGGTGCAAGCACAGCGTGCCCTTTTCCAGGGCCACTGGGGACCATGCCCACCCTCATCAGTGGTCACCTCCTACAATGAGTCCCTGGTAGGAAGAGTGGTACCTCAGACCCTGGTCCTTTCATGACATTTGTCATCTGCTCCCTCCACCATATCCTCACTTTGCAGAGAGGAAGGACATGAATTAAATGGGCAATACGCAGAGATGGAATACTATGCTGCAAAGTAAATATAAAAGGACATCTAAAGAGGTTAAATGCAATGTACACTGGGATAAGAAGTTTGAGTTTAGGAATAAATTGAAAAAATATTCTAAGAAGAGCTCAAAGAGTAGATTCTTAAATGTCATTATATTTACCAAAGTGCAGAGGGAATATTCACAACATGTAAATCATTCCTTCAATAGAGATACAACATGTTATAGATTGAAAGTTTCACAAAAGGGAGCAGCTGCTACCCTAAATCCCTAATAAAATAAGGTTTTTACAAGTGATTTGGCAAATCTAAC